AGAATCAGCTGTGTCTGCAGTGAGAGAACTACTGTCCTCTAGGGAGGTGCTAATCTAGCCTTTGCCTGAGGCTATCGGGCAAAAGCCTCTGTGCTGCCTTTGGGCAGGGTGGGTCGCATGGGATCAACAGGGTGGGCCGGAGCGAGCAGTTAGGGCTGCTCTCAGTCCTGTCCCCAGGGGCTCTGCCTCTCTGAGTCCCAGCAACCGCTGCAAACCTCGGAGAGAAAGCTGCCTTCGAGTTCCGACCGAAGCCAGACAGTCCTGCTTCTCCCGTTTGAGTCTGGGTCCCTAGAGACTTGCCCGGTTCTGGAGCTCAGAGTCTGCGACTCCCTCCCGATTGAAAATGCCAACCTCGCCCTCCGCCGCCAGCCCGCTCCACATGCACTCCGCACCTTAGTATTTGACGTCAGCACTGCGCCTCCTCTGAGTCTCGGAGTGCGTTTCTCTTTCTTCCTAGTTGTAGGACTTCCACTCAGCCAGCATTCCTGTGGTTCTGGGTGATGTCCGTTCGTCTTTTAGTTGTATTTTTGAAGTGGTTGTTCGAGGCAGCAAACTCCGGCGTTGCCCTATGCCGCCATCTTGGTTCCTCTTTCCGTGATAAGTTTTTTATTCTTCCTTTCTGGGGGGGTATGCCTTACAGTTTTTGATTGAGTATTAGAAATCATGTTTAGAAAATCTAGAGATTGAGGGAAATAGTGTTATGCCTGGAAATGGGAGTGCTTGTTCTTCAGGCCCTCAGTGGGGTCCTCGAGTTGATCCAGTCAGGTGTGGGTTTGAGTTTTGTTGTTACTATGATTATCTTCAGTGTACCACAAGCTTCAGGTTTCCCCAGCAAATGGCTGTTGGTAGGGAGCCCCAAGTGGGGCCTGGAGTGTGGAAGGTCCTTCTCTGTAGTCTTGCTTCATACTCAGCTTTCAGGAGTCTCATGTGGCTGTGACTCAGAGGGATCTCCCTACTCGGTTGACCCCTCAACCCCACCCTCCACGTCATGAGACAGCTGTTACTTGTTGCCTGGTGATGGGCTTGGGGGAGGTGGGAGAAGGGTTCTCCCTCCTCCTGGTCCAGTCTTAGGCCCAGGCACAAGGCCTTTGGCAGGGGCTTTCTCAGCATCCCTGCCCCCTCATTCCCCAGCAACAGCTTGACTTCCACTTTGTGATGTTGCAGGACCCTTGACCCAGGTAGGCCCCTTCCTCCAGGCCAGAGGTGTTTTGTTTTACCTTCCTCCAAAGCAGGGTATCTTTGCCAGTGGCCTGTGCCAGGAGGACTTCCTACCCTGCGCCCAGAGGCAGGAAAGTATTGCTTCTCATGAACCTGTTAAATTTGTTGAATTCTTCATCTCTTCATCATCATCCCCAGAAACTTGGGGTCTTTTCTTGGGCTCTGGGATCAGGAGCAGTCTTATTCCTCCCCTAGCAGCTTAAGGGCTTTTGTCTTAGGTTGAAGGCTCCAGGGAAAGGCACAGGGTTTCCTCCCTGTTCTCCAGGGGAAGCCAACCCACATCTGTGTCACCTATGGAGGCTCCCTTCATTCTCTGGCCTGTGGAAGACAGCTTGGGAGTGAGGGCACACTCCCCTGTGTCTGGGCTCCTGGCTGATGGTTGTCACACTCAGCCTGTGGGAATGTGTCCATCTTGACCAATCTCTTCTACCTGCTTATATGCAGCCACCTCCTCCTTGGGCACTGCCACAGCTGACAGTTCATGTGTCCTCTCTCTCCTCGGAGGGGTGGATCCTCTTGAAAATCAGTTCGGGTAGTGACCTTGCAATTCAGCTCTCTGATGGGCTCAAGGGAAGGCACGATGTGTAGAAAACCAGGCTTTTTCTTGAAGCTTGGTTTGGTGGGAGAGTGATGTTCTTTTGTGGTTTTCTGCGTCCCAAACAGCTAATAGAAGAGCACTTTGTGTCGTACCAGCAGATAGCCCCATCTAATGCCTGCCCACGTTTTCTCTTATATGGAAGAATTCTGGTTTTAAAATGAATTTTGACATACTTCCTAAGCTTTTTCATTTCTTTCAGTTATCTCAGCTATACCCTGAAGAAAATTTGGAGAAATTCATTCCTTGCTTAGCTGGCCCAGATTCGTTTTATGTAGAGCGAAACCACATGGATCTGGAAGCGGACCTGAGGTAATGCTCTTTACCCCACCCCCGGGGCCATAGGGCACAGCCCTGCTGGTGGCACAGTGGTGACTGCTGACCCTCTGCAGTGTGGGCAGGCTGGACGGTTCCTGACATGAGCTGCCTGTTCATCTGAGGAGTTCTTGAGGTTATTACTCTGGATGGTTTGAATCTCTTTGTTTCTAGGGATATTCATCAGTTATGGGCAGTTCAAAGATTCTTAATAACCTAGTTGTGATTTTGAGAATATGAGCAAAGGAATTTCAGGTATATGCTACCTGCCCTGGCTGAGTGGCTCAGTTGCCTAGACCATTGTCTTGATAATGTCAAGGTTGCAGGTTCGATCCCCCAGTCAGGGCACATACAAGAAGCAACCAATGAATGCATAAATAAGTGAAACAAATTGATGTTTCTCTCCCTCCCCCCTATCCTCTCCCTCTCTCCTCTCCTCTCTAAAATCAACCAATCAATAAAAAAATCAACGTATATGCTCCCATTTAATGTAGTTTTGACAGTCTGATAAAATTATATCTGATTACTATTTCTGCTCTATAGTGGAAAGTTCAGACTGTTCTGGGGGCTAACAAAGTCTCCTGGGCCAGATGTCTCTGGACCCTGGATCCTAACCTAGCATTCTGGTTTGTAAATGTTTAGGGAAGGGCAGGCCTGTGGCCTGGTCTTCAGAATGGGACCTGACATCTTAGCGCTTGAGACCTAGTTGCAGCACAGTGGCTGCAAGTTTCCGGTGATTGTGATGGCACTGACGGCGGTCACGTGATAGCTCATCAGTCCCTGAAAGGCTTGATTCATACAGTGTAATAATGTGCAAGTAAGAAAAGGGGCATGGGGAAACAATATGAATCATAATAAGGATTAAATTGAATTATATCTGATGAATATAGATTAAGGCACTTCTTATTTTTTTCTCTAATATATATTTCTCTTAATTGGGAATTGAAATTTCTCTCCCCGTGTGTGGTGATACCATTTTAATGTTGATAAGCTCCTTGGTTTAATTTTTAGGTATTTGGCTTCATTACCTTCTCACGTACTGAAAAATGACCATGTTAAGAAATTTTTCAGCACTTCATCTCCCACCCAACAGCTTCAAAGTCCAAGTGAGTTTGTAAAATGTGATTAAATAAAAATAAGAATATTTTTATTGTCTGTAAATTTTATGATATTTATTTTAACTCACAGGTCCTGGCAACCTTTCCCTTTCTAAAGTTGGTACCATGATGGGCGTGTCTGGAAGGTGAGACTTCTACCATGTAACCAACCCCCCCCCCTTTTTTTTTAGAGAGGGAAGAGAAAGGGATAGAGATAGAAGCATCGATGAGAGAGAAACATCATCGATCGGCTGCCTCCTGCATGCCCCCTACTGGGGATCAAGCCCTGAACCTGGTCATGTCCCCTGACTGAGAATCAAACAGGTGACCTCTTGGTTCCTGGGTCAACGCTCAAATGCTGAACCACACTGACTGGGCTAACCAACACCTTCTAAATCAGCATTGTTACTTTTGGTTGTGTGTAAATAATTATTTCTAGAATAAGTCATTCTCAATCTTAGTTTTAAATAGTGTTGAGAAAAGAATTGTATAGAGATAATCCAATTTAAGATTTCTAAAAATAAAAAAGGAAGAAGTGTTCTCTAAGCAACTGGAATTGGAATTCCCAAGGAATCCCACTAAAGTGCCAGTTTCTAGGCCCTGTTCGTTCTAGGAAGCCAGAATTTCTGAGAATCTTCCTTTATACAAGCTCCCGCAGGTGAGTAGGCCCGATGCCAGAGTGCTGCTGTAGGTCCTCTGTTCTCCTGGTCCGGACAGCGATGGTAGGAGTGCTCAGGTGACGGAAAGGCCATCTGCCTGTCTGACAGCGGACGTTTTTAATGGGCTGACCTCACAGAGCATGTGCGCACACACAGTTGTGTGAAGAACTAGGCAGTTAATGAGGTTGTGGAGAGCTCTGACTTTCTTCTTTACTGCGTAGCACTCAGCCTGGTATGTAGCGAGTACATGTGGGTTTACAGCTGAGGGTGGAAGGGGCAAGGACAGAAAGTAGAATGCTTTTTGTCCCTTCCAGCTTCTAGGATTTGTGGGGGTTTTTTAAGGTTAATTTGAGTATTCAAGATTTAGGAGTCAGTTTTAATTTATGATTGTCAGTATTATCCTGTGGTAAAAGTAACAGAAACTAGTCAAGTTGTGACACACACATACGTACATACATGTATATGTACACACATAGATTACATACTCTTAGACGTGCATACAAACGCATATGTACACATGTTAAACGTCATACAAATCGATGTGTATACATGCATGTACACATACAGACTTTAGGCTTCAGTGGGTGGAGTGATGGGGTGGAGAAGTGGCAGAAAGGGCTCTGAGGTGAGCAGTGGACGGGACTGCAGATGCATCAGGATGGAGAAGCTGGCTTGTGCATGCCTCTAACAGGGAGGCTGCGGTCTTCTGACACCACCTGTCCTCTGTCCCCACAGGCCTGTGTGTGGAGTAGCCGGCATCCCATCCTCTCAGAGCGGCGCCCAGCACCACATGCAGCACTCAGCGGGCGCGGCCGCCTTGCCCCACTGCTCCCACACCGGGGGCGGGGGCGCGGCGCTGGCCTACCGGGCCCAGATGGACACCTCGCCTGCCATCTTAATGCCTTCCAGTCTGCAGACCCCTCAGACCCAGGAGCAAAACGGGATTTTAGATTGGCTGAGGAAACTGCGTTTGCACAAATACTATCCCGTCTTTAAACAACTTACGATGGAGAAGGTATGTTGGCTACTAAGCAGGCGATGTAGAATTTGCTTGTTTTCTCAGGTAATCTTTCTTCTGACTTCATTCGTAGAAGAAGTCAGTTGGGTTTCTAAACTGTATGTGTTGTGGAAATCACAGCTCCTGGAATTTAACACCTACAGATGCATGCCCTAAGTCCTGCATGCTCCCAGGAGGGTGGCAGTGGATTAGAATGTGAAAATTGCCTGCCGCTGAAGCAAAAGCTGGAACAGGATTGGTTGCAAACAAACAGCTTTTTAAGATAGTTTGGGGTCTTTACAAATTTGGTGCTCTGTGATGAGAAGGACATTGTGTCTCCATCAATCCTGCAATTGGTAGAAATGGTGAATTTTGGTGCCCACATCCCCCAACCGCCGTCTTGGATGTCCTTCCAAGGCCTGTGCATGTGCTGATGCTCAGCTCAGGAAGGCCACTTTTACAAGGCACCCAAACACTGGTCCCAGTAAGTGGCTCTCTGATGATCTGGCTTGATTTAGGGTCACATAGCTAAAGGAATAGATGTATTTTAGGGCTTTCAAGCAGTGCTACATAGAAATTATTTTTTACAATAGAAAGTTCAGATGAGGAGCGTTATTTCACTCTTAAATTCTGAAATTTCTTAATCTTGGATCAATGATAAAACTTAATTAGTCCTGTACATGGCATCTGAACTCTGAGCTCCCCCTGTTGGATAAAATGACTTGGTGGCTTTTATCTAGGTAAAATTTCATTTGTCAAAAAACCTGCAATTGAACTTAGAAATTCAGCTTTTACTGCACAATAAGAAACACATTTTAAGTATATTTGTAATAGTTTCAGTTTAGGATTCATAGATCTTAGAAACAACAGATTTTACCGACACGGTCATGATCAGCTTTAGAAGTTTTAATGTATCAGTTAAAATGGCTACACTCACAAACCATGCATGGACTGTCTTGAGAACCAGAACGTCATTTGTCTGCTTGGTGTAAGGCCGGGTTAGTTCTGATGGCCTCTGCTCTTCTGGATCACTTGCTGCCCAACAAAGTTGCTGTTGTCCCAGATATCAAGAAAAAAGAGCTGTTTTTCTGCAGGAGGGTAATGCTTGCATTTGAGGGGGGGTGTCCCAGAGAGGAAGGGACCACTTCCACAGATTGCATCTCTGTCAGCACCTTCCTGCACAGCATGGGTCTTCACCAAGCCATTGTGACGTGCCTTGTGCCCTTATAGACGCAAAACGAGTGTCTTGTATTTTGAACTATGGATACCAAACATTTAGCGAGTAAATGTTTTTGTTTTCCCAAGTCTTTTATTATCTACTTTTTGGTCTGTTTGCATGTCCTAGAAATGGAATCAAAGTTCTTTGTTTTCAGAATCCTAATTCTCAATAATTTTGTAATTTATTTTTTCTATGGAAGTTTCTGAGCCTTACCGAAGAAGATCTAAATAAATTTGAATCCCTTACCATGGGAGCAAAGAAAAAACTCAAGACTCAACTGGAGCTGGAGAAGTAAGTGTGAAGTTGTGAAATGTCTGTTGTTTTAGCTTCTGACCTGCTGAACAGGTGCTAGGACTTAGAGTTCTGTTACATATTAGTGATTGGGCCACTTTTGATTGCTTATCACATCTTAAAATTCTGTGAATGTGGCCCTAGGAAAGGTTTGCTAGGAAAGGTCCTTCTAGTGAATCTGACTAGTTAGAATGGGATATTTTCCACCTGGGAGATTATTTTAATGAAAGTCACCTTTGTGTAGAATACATGCACTTATGCAGAGTTTGTGAAACATGAGAGGGGTTTTCAGCAGAATTCAGCATGCTTTCTTATTATAACAGGGAGAAGTCAGAGAAACGGTGCCAGAACCCCTCAGCCCCACCCCCGGTCACCAGCAGTGGAGTGGCCCGTGTGCCCCCCACAAGCCACGTGGGGCCCGTGCAGAATGTCCGGAGCCCCCACGCTGCAGGTGGGTGAGAGCCGGGTCAGCCTGGACACGTGGAGTGTAGTCTGTTCCTTTTGATAATCATTAGACCTCATAATATGCCCTCTGCCGTATGTATTTTTTAGTATTTACAATTACTATTCATTATTTTAGCTTTTGTAGTTTCTACCACAGGAAATTAGAAGGGTCATTTTGCTTAGAAGCTGGATACTGGTGAATTGCCTAAAGTTGTTTGGGCTAAAGAATTAGATCCAGAAACTACTATGGTGAGAAGGAAAAGGTGGGATTATACAAAATAAATGAAAGCCTCTCTCTTCCCCTAGGTGGAGCACAGAGGTCGTGTTTAAGTCATTGCCTAATAGATTTCCTTTGGAATTCTCCATGCTTAACCACCCCCTTTCTGCTCTGGGGACTAGAAGCTTCAGTGATCTGATTTTTCAGCCACTATTCCCCTCCTCCTCCTGCCTCTCCCTCTCCTCAGAGATAGGTTGAGGACCCCTGTATAAGTAGCTCTGTTGTTTTCTTTCTTTTAATCCTCACCCGAGGACATGCTTTCATCAATTTTCAGAGAGGGAGACGGGGAGAGAGAGAAATATCAATTGGTTGTGGTATTTATCCCACACGTGCCTCGACTGGGAATTAAACCCAAAACCTGGGTATGTGCCCTGACTGGGAATCGAACCCACAGCCTTTCAGTGTATGGAACAACGCTCCAATCAGCCAACCAAGCCATACCAGCAGAAATATCAAGAGTAATAGTAAACAAGGAAGGAAAAAATGCAGTGTATCTTCTAAGTGGTTATTTAACTAAAAAGGTCTATGTCCCTCACCCTCATGAGACGGGGTGTTGGTGGATGACGCCTTTTGCAGCACCGTGCTGGTTTGGGAATGCTTTTTTCATTCTCTAGTGTGAGTAGAGGGAGGCCTTAGAGCACCTGGCTGAGAGCATCGCTATTTGCATCTGCCACATAACTCGCCGTGACCTTGGTAGTTTGTTCTCTGAGAATGTCAGAGCCCTGGTGAATGTGGGAATACTCGTACCCGCCTTCTTGGGATTGATGTAAAGAAATGTGTGTGCGATAGGTCTGCACGGAGGCGGGCGGGGGCGGCCCTGTTGGAGGTCTGTGACGCGGGATTTGGGTACACCTGTGGACTATCACTGTTCCCTCTCCACAGCCCTGCGGGTGGAAGTGGAGCCCCCTCACCAGACGGCCCGGGAAGGCAGCTCCTCCGAGTGCTCCAGCTCTTCCCCCAGCCCGATGGGGGTGCAGGCCCGGGAGGAGAGCTCCGACAGCGCTGAGGAGAATGACAGGCGTAAGGATGCCCAGCTGGCTGGCGCGGTGCTGCCTCTGCCCTAGGCTGTGGGGCTGTGCTGACCTCTCTGTTTCCATCTAGGTGTGGAGATGCACATGGAGGGTTCTGATAAGGAGAAGCCTGTCATGCTACTGAATCATTTCACTTCAAGTTCTGCCAGACCCACGGCCCAGGTTCTCCCTGTGCAGAATGAGGCAGGCTCCAACCCTTCAGGCCACCATCCGCTGCCTCCACAGATGATGACTGCAGCCTCGCACATTGCACCCATCCGAATGCTGAATTCTGTGCACAAATCAGAAAGGGGAGGCACGGACATGAAGCTCCTCTCGTCTTCTATGCACTCACTGCTGTCTCTAGAAGAAAGGAATAAAGTCTCTGGACCAAGAAGTGGAATCAAAGTGGACAAGAGTTTTGGCAATGCCATGATGGATGTGTTGCCCACGTCTGCCCCCCATCAGCCCATGCAGGTCCTCTCTGGACTTGCTGAGAGCAGCTCTGTGTCACCCACTATCTCCTTTGGTCCCCGCACCAAAGTTGTCCATGCGTCTGCACTGGACAGGGTGATGAAGCCGGCCCAGCAGCCGGCCCTGGTGGTGGAGACTAGCACTGCTGCCGTGGGAACATCCAGCACAGTCTTCCACGTGGCTCGGCCACCAATCAAACTTCTGGTGTCTTCATCTGTCCCTGCGGATTCTGTCATTTCTGGACAAACTTCCTGTTCTAATAACGTGCAGATCAGTGTGCCCCCTGCAATAATAAACCCCCGGACTACGCTGTACACAGCCAACACCAAAGCTGCCTTCTCTGCAATGAGCAGTGTGCCTGTGGGCCCCCTGCAGGGCAGCTTTTGTGCGAACAGCAACACTGCCTCCTCCAGTAGCCACCCTTCCCCATCCTTCCCAAACATGGCCACTGTGCCCAGCTGCCCGGCCCCCAGCTCCAGCCCTGCGCTCTCCTCAGTCCCTGAAAGCAGTTTCTACAGCAGCAGCAGCAGCAGCAGTGGCAGCGGCTCCCCCGGGAACATTCCTGCCTCTGCTCAGAACCATCACCACCACCACCACCATCAGCAGCCGTCGGCGCCCCCGCAACCCTCACCTGGCCCACCACCGGGCTGCGTCGTGTGCACATCCTGTGGATGCAGCGGGAGCTGCGGCTCTGGTGGCCTGACCGTTAGCTACGCCAACTATTTCCAGCACCCGTTCTCGGGCCCATCTGTCTTCCCCTTCCCCTTCCTGCCCTTCAGCCCTGTGTGTGGCAGCGGCTATGTGGGCACCCAGCAGTACGGCAACAGCGCCTTCCCGGTTGTGCACTCACCATATGGCAGCAGTGTGCCTGCCGAGCCCGTGCTGGGCGGCCAGTCCACATTCACCGTCCCTCCCATGCAGAGCTTCATGGCAGGGGCAGCTGGTGTGTACCAGGCCCAGGGCTTGGTGGGCAGTAGCAATGGTTCCAGTCACAAAAAGAGCGGCAATCTCTCATGTTACAACTGTGGGGCCACCGGTCACCGCGCTCAGGACTGCAAGCAGCCGTCCATGGACTTCAATCGGCAAGGTAAAGGCGGGCCACGGCTGGTGAAGCTCCGGAGGCAGACCGGCTACACTGGCTAGCAGTGCAGCGCTGCCCAGAGAGGTGCAGGCGAAGGTTTACTGTTTATGAAAATAATAGTAAACTTGCTTCTTTTTAAAGCAAAATAATTTTTTAAATGCTCTTTGCAAAAGCATGAAATTCTTGGTGGGTTCTAAAGCCCCCAAAAGGTGGGTTGTTTTGGTTCTAAGACTGTCCTCATGATTTCATCATACTTCTTACTCTAGGGCATGTGAAGCTGGCAGTGGAGAGGGTCTGGCCCGATGGCGCCTTGGTTTCTTATTTCTTGCCATGTGACTGGGAAGCAAGTTTGGGTGATTTAATGCCACCCCCAACCTTTAGCTGAAAGCCTAGGGCATACAGCACGAGTTCAAATGCTGTGGGTGGAAGTCAGTATCCCCACTTCTGCTCTCCCCTCCAGGGTGCCATGGCTGTTGGTGTGTGTACGTGAGTGTGTGAGATCATCCTCACTGCTCTACCATCTTCTGCCTTCCCCCCTTTCTCCCACTCACTCTCTTTTGTCTCCTTTAGTCAAATTCAAATGTATGGTTGATGTATTTATTACAATGGATTTGTTCTTGCTGTTGGTTTTGGAAAGATGCTTAAACCGGGCATTGGGAAAATTGGTCTCAGCTCTGTGACTATTCACTGTGCAGTCTTAAAAAGTCACTTGATCTCTGTAGGTGTGAGGGTTGCTCTAAACCTGTGATTTCCAGACCTGCCTGTGCATCTTAGTCACCTAGAGCAGCAGTCGCCAACCTTTCGGACCTCACGGACCCCCAGTGGTCCGCAGACCACCGGTGGCGACTGCTGCTCCAAAGGTTTCCTTAAACCAGCGGTCACCAACCTTTTGGTCCGGTGGGTGAGTGCTGACCTAGAGAACTATAAGACAAACAGCTCAGACTCAGTAGGTCTGGTGGCAGGTGGGGCAACTGGGCTATGGCAACCCCTGTAGATAGAGATTGTGCTGCATGTCCTGATGCAGCTAGCCCAGAGCACGGAGCCCTGTCCCCATAGGACGCATGTCCCGCGTGGATGCATGCTGGATGGCCAACCAGCTAGGTGCTGTTGGAGTCCCAGAAAAAGCACTCCTAAAAAGAATAAAGGAATGGATTGGTAACTCTCCAGTCATTTCACCCCTTGTCTGATTTTTAGAAAACTAGTAAATTTGCATCAATTGTGGGGTGGGAGAGGGGGGTTGGCAGTGGTTAGAACAGTTGGTCTAGATTTCCAGCACCTGAATTTTGACCAGTGACTCTGGAAATAACTTTGGACAGATCAGCTGTTTGTAGTAATTCTACAGTGATTCAAATTTGATCTCTTTTTTTCCCTCTCTCTAGGTACTTTTAGGTTGAAATATGCCCCTCCAGCAGAAAGTCTGGACTCCACAGATTGATATTTTTCTCTGGCAACAGAACACTATTAAGCCATGGAGACATAAGGAAAATTAAATACAAAACTGAGAAGTCTAGTTGCTGTTGAGCTTAATATTTTTAATCCAAAGGTGCTTTACTTTATTAGACTGGATAGAAAACCTAGCATAGGAGCGCATCAAACTCAGTTTTATTGCCAAAATTCTAGATTGGAGCTTGATGTCAGGACTTGCCTAGTGGGTATCTCCACAGCAGGTGAAATTGGCCACCTCCACCCTTGATGGCAATGCAGAGGCCTCCCGTCTCTGGAAGAGCATTGCCGTAATTGGTCCTTCTAGGCTCACACGTAATTCCAGGGCAGCTACGCGAGATCGGAATCGAGAACTGAAGGTTGGAGTTCTCCAAGTGGAGTTCCACCAGTCGGACTCTTGACACCCCTGGGTGAGGGAAAATGTCACCTTTGTTTTGCTTTGTTTTGTTCCTAAAGTGGTTAGGCACTAATTTCTGGGCTTTTTAGGGATTGCACTACAGAAGAATGTAAACTGATGTCAATCTCTGCAGTTCTGGAGACAAACTCCCTGAGAGCAGTCAGTGCAAGATATTCAGAGAATCTGTCTTTAAAGAGTTGGCACCAGCAGGCTAGTCACTTTGTACACAACAGAGATCTTAGGATTTACTTCCCTCCTTAAAACACTTTGTAGCAGTTTCAGGTTTTTAATTTTTTCTGCAAATAAATTTAAACTACATTATTAAGTAGAAATAGTTACTTGCAACAACTTAATTTCTAAGGGTCCAAGTCCCAGAAAATCCCTAGTTGTCAGAGCTTTGAGAATATCTTCTTTACCAGTCCTTCCATATCTTTGAGGCCTGTCATCTTCCACCACAAAGGAACTCTTGCAGACACACGGTAACAGCACGGCCTTTGTGAGCTGGCTCTAACAGACACCATCTATCCTTAGCAAAGTTTTCAAGTTTTTTAAAATCTCACATAGCCTTCCCAAGGACCCCCAAGACTTACTGTTAACAGATTCACACTTGAGACACACATTTCAACAATAATTACAGGACTCTGTAATTTATGAGCAAAAGATTTGAAATTTTCTCCTATTGACTGACTTTGTATTAGTTCTGTTGAAAACCTGGAAGGCTACAATAAAAAATAAGACTAAAAGAGACCACACCAACAGGACAGAGCTACAGGATCTGCAGAAGTCTAGTTTTATTGAGGTGGGAAATAAAGTCCTCACCACACAGTTCTCAATTTCACCCCATTGCAATGAGAGCTTTCTGATCTGAAATTTAGGAACTTAAATCTTCAAGTCTAAAGGGAATTTTCTGCTCAAATAATGTTATTTTAAATGCTAACGCCTTCAGTATTAAAATATTAATCGGGAAGGCCTTACCCAGGGATTTTTGCAGTTGAATATTTATTTAAAAAGAGAAAACATAATATTCAGAACATTCTTAAAATGGGACAATCAGCCTCAAAGTTGATGTAAATAAAAAGAATACCCTAGAATTTGAGGCATTGTGATGTGAGGTTTCAAATTTTGAGATCAGTTTCCTGGCTTTCTGGAAACTAAAGCAGAAAGTTGTTACATTTTTTTAATGGAAGGCTTTTAGTAGAGTTTTTTAGAGTTTTATTTTAGTAGAGTTTTATTTCTATGCAATGCAGAATTGACCTCTGTATTCTTATATCTCTTCCTGGTACACAGTATTATTACAGTTTTTAAGCAAAGCTGATGCTTACAACAGTTTTTTGGGGGAATGTTACATTGATCTCTTAAATTATAAACACTACAAAAATGTCAAAATAATGAGAACTGACACAACTTTGCCTTAAAGAATATTAGACTGGAACTTGTCATGTTATGTTAAAGGAAGACTTAGAGTGTTCATTGATGTTTACGATTTTAATATTTCTGAAGGCCGTTACAGTGGCCTGGATATGTGCTGAAAGCCAAACTTTTAAATTTTTTGGTTTTTTAAACAAAGAAATATTTTAAATAAATCCTATTTCAACACAGTGAAATTGTGGAAAACTGTCTCATAACAAAAGAAAAAAGTCATATTTAGGTTTTTTTTGTTTTAATGGTCAGTATTGGAAATGAAAGTGTCTTTTGTCACCCTTATAACTATTTTGATAATATTAGAGATTAGCATTAAATACAACAAAAAATTAAAACAAACTTTGAAGTATGACCTTCAAATTGAGGTAAATAAGATCAGACATTGTGTGGCTGTGTTCCAGTCATCAAAGGTCTTAGAAAAATTCCCAGTTTCTTTGAAAGTATGTGTGTGGTGTGACATTTCCAATGAGGTCATTCCAAGTTGAGAATTGTAAAATGTAAATATGAGATAACACAGGACACAAAGCTGCTGACCCATCAGATCTCTTCCAAGTGAATCGCATACTTGGACTTGAAAATATTTGCTAGCAGCATTATGAATTTCTCTCCGAAAGCAACCAAAGTCAGTAGGCCTAAAAGAGCATTTTGCATTTCCTCAGAAGATGTCCTCACGTTAGAAACACAGATCAGACTGATCCTTTCAACTACTTAGTCGTTTTCCTGAAATCGTGGCTGTTTCCAAGTGCTGTGGCAACCAGGTAGGTGTGGCACCAGCCACTTTGCTTTATGTAGTCTGTCATATATTAAAGTTTCTAAACCCATTTTTATCTTCAAGAATGGGGAAAGTAGAATGTACAGATCAAAGTAGAATACAATGTTGGGATGAAACAACTACTTCATCTTTTTTTTTTAAAGCAAAACTGTCAAATTTTCTACCTTATTTTCTAATTTTTATTTCATGGTCATACTGAAAATAGGAAAATGTTTAAACATTAAAACTCCTAATTGTTAAAGAGCACTGAGGAAATGGGAGCTAGCACTTCTAATAAAACATTTATTTTTTTGAAAGCCGATATGTGATTGGGTATTTAAAAAAACCAGCATCATCTATATAATCTCCAAAAGATTACAGGAGTCAGCTTGTTAATATAGTAGTTCGTAGGTTGAGTATTTTAATTCACTATATTTAGAATTCTATAAGTCCTTTATCACAAGAAGTCAACATAGTTAGTTTACACTACACACGTATGGAGGCGCAATAGCAGTGGTAGTAACTTTGCCTGACGTCACACAGCTATAATGTGTTCCCTGTTTGAGCACAGGCTGACTGAGGCTTGCACTCATTCACTCACTCCAGTGTCTCTAGTGAGCACTTGCCAAGCAGGAATTGGGTTGCACCCTCCCCTCTTCACTCCCTATCATTTTGTCACTCTTCCTACTTTCATGGTGGTTTCTTTGATGCCTTGCTAGTTTTACTGATGGCGTTACCTGTTGAAGAGTCTTAAAGGTTATAAGGGAAACCATGTCCCTGCTCAGCTTGACCACCCATCTCAGAGGATAGCGCCTGTGGAACCTGATCCCATTGGCCATCCTTTCCAAAGGACAGATGACTCCCAAAGAATGAGTCAGGTGACATTTAAAGCCATGGGTTCTGAAGAGGCTCAATTATTGACAAGTACTAAGGTTATGAAAGAAAGTATCTTTAATCAACATTCACAAAACGAAATACTGTGCTGGTTGAGGCCAAAGGTCAATGTTACTACACTCTTAATGGAGGGAGGGGAGTGCCGGTCGGGTATTGTAACAAGCCCCTCACGTGGGTAAGTTTTTACATGCACAAGGACAAAGGCTTTGGTACTGAAACTGAAGACCTCGTATACTTAAGAATCTTCACAGCTTCTATTGAACATATTTTCTTTTTAGGAATGAAGGAAAAGTCTCCCATTTTTGAGCCATTCTTTTATGTCAGTTCTACAAAATTGCATGTAACTTTATAAATATTTTTTAAAAATATAGTTTTGTAAATATTTAATATTCTGCTAATTTGATTTTGAATTGTAAATGTCAAGTATTGTTTTTGGGGTTTTTATGTTTTATTATACTTTGTTAAAAGGAAAAATTGTACATTTTTAGAATGTTTTTATGAGTAAATTTAATGTACTGAAAATAAAAAAATGAAAATAAAAACTTTCATTTTATTAGGTCTTTGCCTCAAATATGAAGCACACATCTTTTCAAATAATTCACAATTCTTAATCTCCAAACTAGGGAGTCAATCCTTTCTGCCTCCCCAGCTTTACAAAAGAAATACTTAGTCTTAAATGTGTTTTCTGTCAAGGTTCCCAGGTTTTTAACAAATACCCTTGGTATGGACAGAAATGTGAATTTTTTTTTTACATTAGAAAAATCTCTTTAATAGCAGACACCTGGCTTCTTATCTCTGTTTCTACAATATACTATTAGTTGTTGTTTTGATTGACATATGTGAAGAAAATTTGTCCTCCTTCAAATATGTAGTTGAAAAAGGTGGTGATATTTTAATAGCCTTTTCAGATAATTGTGGATATTCTTCTCTGATATTACACCAAAACTTGACAAGAGGCTATTTCTTAAAGGTTAGTTGAAATAAGGAATCTGAAACCATATCAATGACCTTTTCTTACTTTTTTTTTTTATTAGTTAAGGTATTACAAATGTGTGAAATGTGAATTCTTGATTGGGGTATAAAGATGGTTTCATAACTATGAAGGTAGGTGTTAATAGATCTAAGCTTCTGTAAATATTCCCAAATGCATGGTGAATGTGCCCGACCATCTTAAGCTCTGTCCTTTGGATTTGGGAGGTTGGCAGTGTGAGTATGCCTAGAACTACATTTTTGTCATGAGCAGTGCCAAGCACTAGAGGGAGCTTTTTCCCCCATAAAAGTCCATAAGGCCTCTTGGTTTTTTCAGGCTACTGTTAGGTAAGTAACATGAGGCACAGCTGGCAGCCCAATATGGAGCACTTGCTCTCCCTCTGAAGATGTGGGACATGTACACATCTGCTGAACAAGAAACTCAGGGAAGCAGCGTATTTCCTCAACCCACTCTCTGTACTCTTTCTTCTACAAACATTGCAGTGCCTACTTGAACTTGAGCTGGGTCCAGGTCCAGAGTTTTCCAAATCAGTAACACTGGCCACTACTTGCCTGGTTGTTTGCATTATATCTTTACCTGATGCGGCTCCCCAGTCAACTAAGGTACCATGAGTCATGCCTTCCTAACTGCACATACTAGTACACCCTCTCTACCTTTGTGTTTATTTTACTTTGTTCATTCAGAGCAATATGTCTTCAAGTATGTATTCCCACAAAAAAACCTACGTCCCACATCCATCCTCCTCTGTGGCATATAAGTTCTCAGTACAGTTTTGTAAGGACAAGACCAGGTGGCAGAGCCTTGACCACAGTGAAGAAGATGCCCCTGACAGGAGGCCTTCAGAGGTGTCACTCCCCCGACCTGCTCCCGCAGCACAGCAAAACCAACCTGGATATTGCTTGTTAGGAAGGGTATTGTTTGGCTTTGGCTAGTACAGACAGTATGCAGGACTGCAGGTCTCAAACACTGATCCATTAAATTGAGCTTTAATGACAGTTTTTAGTTGTGCCTTTATTCACCTTAGTTCATTTAAAAATGTACTTGTTTTAAAGATCCTGTAAATATAGAGTGACTACCCACTAACGTGGGATATGTCACCCCCTCAGCATGGTATTGTTTTTTAAAAAGCAGAATTTCTTACAGGAATCTTATCGATCACACAGTAGTTACAAGAATGTCAGATATAGTGACATACAATCTAAACAAGACAGGCTGATTAAGAATGTACATAATGTAAAAATATACATATTAAAAGTTAGCCTTGTGGACTTGGGAAATGTTTAACTTTTTGACATTAATATCTGTGAAGAGAATATATCTCCTTTTACTGCTTTCTTCACAACTGACATGCGCTTAGAGTGGGGGAATTTCAATGGTGGTTTGACCTAACAGTGATGACTGAAACACTCTTTAAAAAATGTGGTAACTTTTTAACAATATATTTTAGTCACACACTTAACATAAAACATGGATCATCTGCAGGATTCTGTAGTTTCTACCACTGTCCTAAAGAATGAAACTGATACAAGTGCTTGTTTATTTACCAAAGCAGGCACTATTTTGAGCTCTGTGATCAGAGAATATCCAAAACAGAAGAAATGTCACTTTTTTCCTCTGGGCCTTTTGAGAAACTTGACCAAAATAAATTATTCTAGGTTCCCCTGAGCAGTGGTGTCATCATGTATGTTACTGTCTGGAGAACAAACAAGAACTTCCTAACACTGCAAGAGTGTTGCCTTGGGTATACTTGATAGGAATCGGGAACCTTTAACAGCAGTTCACCGTTGTCTTATACACCTCCATTTAGCCTTTATGATGGCAAATGTGTTTGGGGGGCTATGCTTGAGATTTCTCTAGTTGGATAGAAACCCTTCAATAAGAAGTTGGCAGGTTCTGACTTACTGTCTCTGAATGCTCAAAATGCAAGTTCCTATTGGGGAAAGAACATTAAAATAACTTGAAGATCTATCTTATTGGTAAGTTAGAATGCAAAGTATTTTATTTTTAAACTTTGAAACAAGACAGCCTAGGTTAAATAATATAGTTTTCCAAAGCTGAATGTGCTCACTTGGAGCTCAGTTTTTCTGCTTAAAGTACAAAAACAACTTTCTAAAACTCCTAGGCCAGACACTACTGTTTTGATGATCTGATTTAGATGAACAGATCCAATCTCAGCTGGTAACATCCCTTTTTTCCCCGTTGGTAAGGGTTTAAAAAATTCTAGAACAGATGCATTTTTCTAGTCTTACAGTGACAATTTCATTCCAAATGTCTCCTGAGAGGCGTATACCATATACAGGAATCCATCTTCATCCTTCTCACTTTCATATACTTCCGATATCGGTGTGGACACACTCACCATGCTGTGCCCATTCACTAACAGGAAGAAGGCTTGATTAGCGTTGAGCTGTAAGCGCCTTCTATTGAAAGAAAATGTGAAAAAAATATTGATACATCAATAAGTAGGGAACATATGTAAAAATATCATCCACTAATCGATTTTAAAAGTATAAAGATTTTGTAAATGCTGCTTCTGGCAAAATTAAGTGTATACCTTACCAATGATGACTAATATTTCTTCTCATAAAACATAAGACATTTTCTATGATTATATTCATGATCAATATTAGTGATAATCCTTGTTATTACTACTGTCTTCTTGAGTTTTAAACTATTATGCTGTCTGAAGAGTGCCATTAGAGTCTAAAATGTGAGAAAAATAGTTCAAAATATTTACAAACTAAGACCTAAGCTGGTACAATTTATTACCACTATACCAAATCTGAATTCTTTTATTAATTTTGCTACACAAAACTTGTAACTTTTCTGATTAAAGGACATCTACACTAGATGTTATGAAAGGGTCATAAAAAATATAAAAAACTAAGAAATGAAATATCTTATGGTTTTATTAAGCTTGAATAATTTTAATCAGAACTGAAGATTTATCTATAAGTGTGATAAAGAATAAGAACTTAGACCAGCTGGTGTGGCTCAGTGGTTGAGCATCAACTCATGAACCAGGAGGTCAGAGTTCTATTCCCAACAGGACATGCCCAGGTTGTGGGCTTGGTCCCCAGTAGGGGGCGTGCAGGAGGCAGCCTGTCAATGATCCTCTCTCATCACTGATGTTTCTTTCCCTCTCCCTTCCTCTTTGAAATCAATAAAAACATTTTTTTAAAAAAGAAGAAGTTAAGCCCCGGCTGGTGTGGCTTGGTTGGCGTACCAGGACGTCCCCAACACCAACAGGTGGTGGGTTCACCCTAGCTGGTTGGACTCAGTGGATAGAGTGTCAGCCTGCCAACCAAAGGGTCCCGGGTTTGATTCCGGTCAAGGGCACGTACCTTGGTTGCAGGATCCTCCTTGGCCCAGGCCATGGTCAAGGCTCATGTAGGAGGCAACCAATCAATGTGTTTCTCTCACATCGATGCTTCTCT